TCTGTGGAGGCCGACGGATCGTTACATATCTTTGAAAAAGGCCGTAACACACATACGCGGACGACTGCAGAACACAGTGGCTTATGAAAAGACATTGCAAAAATATAACATGCGATACGAAAAACTTCGTTAGAACCCGTCCTACACATATATGTATGTGTGTATATGTATATCTCGTATATTTTATTTATTATGATCATTTCCAGAAAACTTTTTATTTATCAATAATTATCGTGAAATAATTACAACATATAATATAAATTCTACCATTAAAAATGTTATTATTGTTGTTATTTTAATTAAACAAATAATTTAAAAAAAACTTTATTGAAAAAAGTATAATTGATTGAAATGAGAAGAAATTAATTTAATGTTAAATTAATTAATTTGCTGCATACACGTATAATTTTTATACGCTAAGGAATGCTATTTTTATATCAATAATTGCCATCGTAATGCGTCTACATTTACTATCAAAAAATAATTCATCATTATTTGGACACTTTATATACGGTTTAAGATTTTGTGGTATTTAAAGATGAGTTACCTAGCAGACATTCATTGTTTGGATCACGTTGAAAACGTCAAACATGGTTTCGCGCAAAAGATAGAGAACTATGAATAGCGCCCTACTTATTCTAAGTTTTCATCTGCGTTCTCTCCTTTAATCGGGAATGATCATTAGTACCTCGACGCGAGACAAAGATAAATTGCGCCATAAAAAAGTAACAACGAGATAAAGGTCATTTTTTTCGTTTTTTTCCTTGACGATGCGTTTAACAGTTCGCTCCCTTTCAGAGCGATACATGGCCGGTCGCTGTATCGGTCATTAACTTCATTAACTAATTCCACGAACCACGAATAATCAAACTAACCGTCGTGCACGGAGAAACTTCCTGCGGGACAATAAACGACGTAAATAACGAGCATGCTGCGAAATCGATTTTCCAACTAAGATGACTAATATAACCAGAAGGTTTTTGCGACAGCGTGCTTCAAATGTGCTCAAAATGCGCTCAAATTTTCGATAGCAATTTCTATCTAAATTATTACTCGCTCTACATGCAACATAATACGATATTAATATTTAGCATGTTCGCGAAACATGCTAAATATTAATATCGTATTGCAAGAAGTCTCTAATATTAATTTTAGATGTATATTATTCATTTATCTTGAATTAATATTTAGCGCATTCAATATTATTGCGAAAATTCTCCAACAATAATGAATTTTCTCAATAACGTACTTTGAATGCGACAAACGCTAAAGTATTATATTTATAGCGGAACAGTCACTTGAATGATGATAAAAAATTCCATCTTAGATTAGTATTATCATACATTTTGTTTCACGCGACTTAACACGACATGAGCGCATTTAACGTCTTGAGAACACGCTATTGTTAATGAACCTAATATGATAAAGTATTGAAAATGCGAGCTATACTTCTTGTTACGTTCTGCAGTCGTTTTCCGCTCGCCAAGAATAGCGAATACGTTCCCTCAGAGAGAAAGAGTGCGTGTGTTCAATAGCGAAAAACAGAGAATAAACAGATTCACGCAAGAGGATGTGCGTCGCACCGATCGCGTATACAGTCGTAAAATCCGCGAACGCGTCCGATGTGAATGCATCTTTATTCACCGAGACTAAAATCGATCGAACAAATTAGATAAGGTAATAGCGCTTCCGCGGTTCGCGACATTCCACCGTCGTCGAAGTTCATAAACCTCCCCGGTGTAATTATTCTATACCGAAGAAAAGAATTAGCAGGTTGAACTTGAAGACGGTTACGTTCCCTTCAAGCCAATTTCAAATCAACATAATAATTAATTACATTAATTAAATATAAATTATTATTTATTTTTTATGCTTACAATTATTAACGCCATTACATCGATAATGTTTATTGGTGCGTTATATTATACATAATTTATTCAATTGATTTTATGCTTGTATGAAGATCGTCGTTGTTTTTGGCATGAAATCAGTTGGATAAACTATGTATTACGCATAAGTAAACTTTATCGACGCAATTGCATTAATAATTGTAGATAGTCTCTTTCTTAATGTAATTTTTTTTTATTCTTTACCCCACGTTTTCTTCCTATTTATTGCTGGATACATACATTACTGAATAACTAATCACACACAGCGATAAATGTTTGTGTACATTTATTATTATATAAAAGGCTAACAAATGAATGAGATAACAAAAATATTCTATCAAAAGAAAAAGAGAGAGATAAAAAATCTACAGTTGATATAAAATTATAAAAAATTGAAATTATATTGATTTTATCACAAAATATCGCATTTATCCAAGGCTATCGCATATCTTGCTTGATTTTAATTTTACCTTTTTTCCTTATATGTTCTAAACAACTTTTATGTAAAATTAAGAGAATTTCAAATATTTAAGTTTTAATCTCTCAATATTTGAAAGATAACTATGTGACGAAAATATTATTTTTATCCAGCAAAAGGATTGATTTAATATGCTCAAGCAGTCATTCAGTAGCGCATTTATCCTACCGTTGTGATTTGCATTCTATCTTTTACCAACGTGATATCAGTGGCTATCACGAAGTCACATTCGGAGCTTGTGACTTTTTCCTGGCGAACCGCGATCGTGCCGCATAAATGTTGCATGAAATGAATATTAAGAGTCTCTATAAAGCCGTCGCCGCACGAGAGAATTATAGATCACATCGAGCGCCTTTTTCATTCTTTCCCTGACGCTAAAATGTATAACTCGAGGACTTTGCTGGGCAAATCAAACAATAATCGTTTAAGCATAAAATTCATATAATTGAAAGTATGATCTTCAACCATAAAACAAAAACAATATTGATAGGAGAATACTCGAAAGATAATAAAAAAGTAAATAAAGAGTCAGAACAGATTAAATTCGTGTGTGCCAGTTTTTTAGCATGAAATTATATTTAACATAAAATATCTTCCAATTTTATAAACTTATTTTACACAATATTGCTTAGAATATTTTAGCATAACATTTATCACAAGATCAAAATTATCTGCGGATATTACGCTAAGATAAACATTTATATTAATATCTTTTTTATTTTTTCACGACATACTTTCGGCAAAAAATTTTTCGGTAGACAAGTGAAAAACTGACATCACGGAAAGTTTATAGAAACAATATTTTGATATTTTTCTTTTCTCACATTCTTCTGTCAAAAAAATCTTATTGCTAGAATCGATCACGTACGACTGGAGATATTTTGTCAGCCCATCAGCGTCCTCGAGAGATACTTCGAGCATTTTATACTTTATCCCGAAGATTTAAAGACTACCATAAAGCACAAAACGTGCGACGCGTTACATCTGTACATTCGTCCCGTGTGCGACGGAACTTGAAGCGAAGTAAAAGAAAAATGAAGAATAGAAAAATAAAAAAAAAAAAAATTATAAAAAATTTTCGTACGAAACAAATTGCACAAAATGAGCTGTACCTTTTTTTCTTGCAGAAACCGAAAGACCTATTTAACCGAAAGTCTTCATGGAACGCGCAGGAAGCATACAAGAAATATATATTATTATATAAATATATATACGAGATATATAATTGCTAGAATATACCTTGCAGAGTTATATGCGAATGTTACATTGTCTATCTGTTTGTTCCATACAGATCCAGATGTATTATTGTGTATCCGATGGAGTATTATATATCAAAATATATAATATATATCTATATATATATGTATTTATGTATATAGGAACTTGAAGCGAAGTAAAAGAAAAATGAAGAATAGAAAAATAAAAAAAAAAAAAATTATAAAAAATTTTCGTACGAAACAAATTGCACAAAATGAGCTGTACCTTTTTTTCTTGCAGAAACCGAAAGACCTATTTAACCGAAAGTCTTCATGGAACGCGCAGGAAGCATACAAGAAATATATATTATTATATAAATATATATACGAGATATATAATTGCTAGAATATACCTTGCAGAGTTATATGCGAATGTTACATTGTCTATCTGTTTGTTCCATACAGATCCAGATGTATTATTGTGTATCCGATGGAGTATTATATATCAAAATATATAATATATATCTATATATATATATGTATTTATGTATATATATACATATTTTAAGCTTCTCGTTTTCCTTATTTTCTAGTGACTTAAAAATGATTTCTTTTAAATAATAATATTAATTATGTTCTATATTATATTTAACAATTATTTTTTATGTCAAGAATTACGCTACTATCGTTGAAAAAAGGAAGGTTATACATACTTTTCTAAACATAATAAAATTTTATCCTTCAAGTGTTCCTAATTCTTATTAATCAATGCTGTAGTAATTAAAGCAATTAAAACCTACCTCTGTATATGGTGCACCAAAGCCGAATTCAATTCAATTGATCCACTAAATTAATATAAACTATTATAACGAGAGAGATCATTCCCGCGATTTTAGATAAACTTTGTATATGGAACAGCGCATACGGAACGCCAACTATGTTCCAACAAACGTAGACATAGAACTATATAGTCACATCCATAAATTTACCCGGTAGGTAACATGCTATGTTTTGGTTCCGTTCCATACTATATCTACGAAGTATGTGTGCGAAAATGAATTGAAGATTCATCATTTTTATCTCAATTTTAAATTTTTTTCCATTCCAATGCTTGATTATATGTCTATCTCACTTTAATTGCAGAAAGTATAATGAAATGCAGATAAAACAGAATGGTAACAGAGGAAAGATTTTGGCAACGGCTATCCTAGTGTTTTTCATGAGACGCTTCCCAAGCTTCATTTAGTACCTCTATCTGCGTCCATTTTATTAAAAGCTACATAGAACGAAATATATAGAATAAAATATACAATTAAATCTTCATAGAGATGGAATATGTTCCTAATTCACAATTTATAAATTTATAGTCCGGACACGCACACAACGGCGATTTTACCGGCAATGTCAGAAAGTCGATTGGCTACGTAATTCCATATTTCTACAATGAATGCAGATGGCGATTAAACAATGGCTTGGTAAAGTGAAAACTCCGGGATGGCTTTTCTCTGCTCTTTTCAGTTGGTACAAGATATCTTTACCTCGCCATATCTCCCTGGCAAAACTGGCTGTCAAGCATCGCTGAATACACGAAAAAATATATTTTTTTTTTTTAAGAATTCAACGAAAATTTTAAAACCAAATTATATATTACGTAGTAAGTATACCGACGATGTCATGAAATTTTTAGATGTAAGATTTCTGGAACATTCAAATCTAATTATATATATGTGTGTAACTTTGTTATGCTTATCTACGTATATAAAATATTATCTCATTCAGTTCAATAATTGTATTAATATTTCAAATTACATTATTGATTTTATTGACATAAATTTTGTACGTAGGCATGTTGCATTATAATATTATACCAAAATATGCACGATAGATATTTTTTTGCTTTGTGCACGAAAATTTTAATAACTAATATATAATCTAATAATATAAGGTAGATTATATCGTATATATAATTCAGATACACTTGTTAAGATCTGAAATAAAGCTTTTAATTTTTAACATTTATCTTTACATTTATTGTGTATAAGAAAAATGCAACGTGCATAAACAACGAATTTTTTTACAGTATAAATGCCAAGCGTTAAGGATGAATCGGAGGCAGAAGGAGAGGAGATGTCCCATGACAGCAACGAAAGTAACCAGAGTTCTGCATCATGTGACAGTAGCGCAGAACATACTGACAGTGATGATTCTTCAGAGATGGATGAGGATGAATGCGAGAGGAGACGGAATGAATGCATGGAAAACTTATTAGATCTAGAAAGACAGTTTACTCTTCTCAAAGAACAGTAAGTATATTCCATATTTAGCAATAATATAATAATATAATTTGTACAACTCTTATTTAAATTTATATAGAATATATTTACGAAAACATTTGGCACAATAGGGAAATTTTTTTCATTCTAGTAATATAAATATTATAATATTTAGAAGATTAATTTTATTAAGAACACAAAAAAGTCAATATAACCTTACAATTTATAATTATGAAATTGTAATTATTAATTGTTGATATAATATAAGCAATATTTTAAAGTTCTAAAGGTTCTGAATATAAACCCTTATTTTAATGTCTATTTCAGATTGTATCGAGAAAGAATTACACAGGTGGACACAAAACTTGGAGAAGTACGTGTTGGAAAATCTGAAGAGTATCTAATACCACTAGAGCGACTAAAAGAAAATATGAAAACAAAAACAGAGGTAGCTGGAATATTGAAACAGTACAGGTTGCAAAACATACAGAACAAATTTCTAGCAGAAGAGCAGGCTGCCTTGCAAAATTTTGAAAGTGAGAAAGGATTGATTTGGGATTGTATTCATAACGATCTCCAAGAGAAGATTCGCCGTTTAGAGGAAGATAGAAACAATGTGGACATACATGCGGATTTATGGCTTAATACGACTGGTAGAAGACGCAGGAACCATTTGGAGAGAAGACGAGCAGTTTCCGTTGCAGGTCCATACATTGTTTACATGCTCAACGATGCGGATATATTAGAGGATTGGGCGTTAATAAAGAAAAGCTTAAGCAGTTGGAAAACGGAAATAATGTAATCTTCACTCGAGAGTATCCAAAGAAAATATTTTCGACACTAATATTATGCGTCCATCTTTCATACGAATAGAGATTTCGTCCAAAATTGGTTTGAAATCAGACAAATACATTTTCCATATTGGCGTTCATTGCGCGTCTAATGTTTGTACAGTGTGCCTTGAAAAAAAATGAAGGTAGTTGTTTATTTTAAGGAACATCTCGTTGACTCTAGACTCTAGATAAACGAGAACTGGTCTCTTAAAATAAGAAAAAGATTTGCCAAAATAAACATCAAAATTGATATATGTATTTCTGTAGTAATGCAGGAAAATTTTCATTAATGTAGGAAAATTATTTACACATGACTGTGCCGTCAATAAGAGCAGATTCACAGCTCGAAAAAAAAAACAGATATTTACTGTATATTAATTTTACTTAATAAAACAAATTATATATCAATGAGCAATTGTATTAATCCATATATTACCAAAAATAATTAATTTTTATATTCGATGCCTAATGTCATTTAGATTTAAAAAGACAGTTTACTCTTCTCAAGGAACAGTAAGATTATATACGATTTACAAGCGTTCATTATTTCAAATGCAAACAGAAAAATCATGTTCATACATAATAATATTTAAATATTACAATAATATACTAATTATTAAAATAATATTTAAATTTTGTATTCTTTAAGTACAATGTTTCAACGTAAAATACAAGATAGCATTTTTGTTAAATTTCATACACAAAGAATATTATACTCTAATCAGACAATACACAGATTGTAATTTCAACTTGAAGTGTGTGAAATGTAATACAATACACAAATCTTTTATAGAATGTGTATGTGTGTATAAAATACAATCAATAATGTGATATTGTAAGATAATGACCAGAAAAAAAAAGATTTATTTATAGAAAAATTGAATAATATATTATAAAATAATCATATCTTAATATTTTTGTATAATATACATTCAAACGAATTAAATAATGATAGTATCGATTTAATACGTCTTTTTTAAAAGTGGATTGTTTTATTGCTACATAAACGATGATTATTTATTTAAATGTTTTCTTGGACACAAATACAAAATTATATTACCTCCTACTTTAAATTTTTCGCCGATTTAGATTTAAAATTATATAGATCTCTGCATTTCGGAAATCACAATTTTTACAATGTATACAGATATATCCAAGTCTTCCGAAAAAAATATTATTTTCGCATTTTCGCATTATTAAATCTTTACGTAATAAATACATATCGTGATTTTTAATATTTTGCGAAAACTTGACAGTATACTTATTACCGGGCGATTATATGAACGTGAAAGAATTAATTAACTGCTGCTAATGATTAAAACTTTGTAAAAAATAAAAGATTACAAAACTATAGGAAAATTATAGTAGAATAGACTTCTGTTTTTCAGAAATCGATTTTTCGTATGTGGTATCACATATCAAGACATTTTTAAGTCCCGAAGAGAGTACGAAAATACTTTGGAGCTTCTTTTTATTTCTATTCTTTTTATTACTGTCTCTTTTGCTTCCATTTTATTTCAAAATATTAATATAATAAATATAATAATTACGGTATCTCTCTTAGTCTGACCCTTCCTCTTCGACCTATCCGGCATGGGTGACCCTACCGATAACTATTAGCGTTTTCGAGTGAAGCAAGTTTGATCGCTTTGAGACCGATTTTTTGCTCTAATTAAACATCAAATGCTTACTTGAAATATTTAATTAATTAATCTAATAATCCAAGTACCCTTAATAATCCAAGATGGAGTATATGGCGTCATTAATCGGTCTCAAACCTATATATATATATATAATAATTACGGTATCTCTCTTAGTCTGACCCTTCCTCTTCGACCTATCCGGCATGGGTGACCCTACCGATAACTATTAGCGTTTTCGAGTGAAGCAAGTTTGATCGCTTTGAGACCGATTTTTTGCCCTGATTAAACATCAAACGCTTACTTGAAGTATTTAATTAATTAATCTAATAATTTAAGTATCCCTAATAATCCAAGATGGAGTATATGACGTCATTAATCGAGAAAAAGAAAATGCTGTACGTTACCGCCGGCATAGCTCTCAGGTTCATCAGAGTACGCAAACCTCCTCACCCGGCAAATGCCTTCGTTAAGGTGGAGATACCAGCGAGGAGGAAAAATTTTTATTTTTATTTTTATATATATTATAATTAATTCTATACATCTAATATAGAGAATTAATTATATTACAAATATATATTACAAAATATAATACAATGTTTAATATAAAATATAATTTGAAATGTAATACAGAAAAATTTACATTTTTACATGGAATTACACGAAAATTTTCGAAATACTTATATAATGTAGAATTCACTAAAAATTTTTAGATCGGATATATCTGATAAACAATGATTAATGCAATATTTAATTAATGATCAACATGCAATTACAAAACTTATTAAATTTTATGTAATGCAAACAATTATGACCAGAAGAATCGTTAATAAAGTTATCGATTACTTTTTAATTGTAGAAAAAAGTACTTGGTCTACTGGCGCATTTTACGTAGACTTTCAAAGAAAATATTCGAGAAAAGATACATGAAGTTTCGATGTAAATCAACGATTAAATCACAAGATAAACCGCGATTTAAAATTTGTGAAAAAAACGCGACGAATAAATAAATCGACGATAGTCATAATACTCGATTCCAATGCATGTAATTGTATGTAATGTAATGTATATAATTTTTGGAATAATCAGAGGAACGATATAATTACTACATACTTATACGAAAATGTTTCGACGGACGTTTAAAACGCTTTTTATAATCGCATCTGTAATAGAACATTTGTAAAGAAACTAATGCCCGATTTATTTTCAAATGCGTGATTTTATGCAAATTTCGCGATTGAGAAGAATATAAGTACCGTTTCGCGGAGAATTGGCTAATCAGAATAAAATCTTATAAATCTTAAAATACCGTTATAAAAACATTGCGTTATCGCCGCGTTCAATGGAGGATAACTGGCCCAACGAATTGACCAGATCAAGGTCCCTCCGCCAGATAATACGCCGGTTAATATCCGACAAAGACAAGAACAATCTTAAAGGTGGAGAACGATCAACTTCTTGCTTCTACATCGGACCCCGCAAGATCAATCCACAAAGAAAAGTTAAGTGATCCGTTAAATATCAGAAATCCCGTTGTAGGAGGGAACGAATCCCGGATCTTCCAGATTACTCCCGATAGCAATGATTT